CGAGGTGTCCGGCAAGATCATTGCAATGCTACAAGGTGTCTAGCAAGACCATTGCAACGCTCCAGGGTGTCCAGCAAGAGCATTGCAATGCTCCGGGGTGTCCAGCAAGTGCATTGCAACGCTCCGGGATGTCCGGCAAGAACATAGCATCGCTCCGGGGTGTCCGGCAAGAGCATTGCAACGCTCTCGGGTGGTCAGCAAGAGCATTGCAACTCTTCAAGGTGGTCGGCAAGAGCATTGCAGAGCTCCAGGCTGTCCGGCAAGAGCCTTGCAACGCTCCGTGGTGTCGGGTAAGAGCATTGCAACACTCCAGTGTGTTTGGCAAGAGCATTGCAACGCTCTAGGGTGTCCAGGATGAGCATTGCAATGCTCCAAGGTGTCCAGCATAAGCATTGCAACTCTCCGGGGTGTCTAGCGAGAGCATTGCAACGCTTGAGGGTGTCCGCCAAGAGCATTGTAACGCTCCAGGGTGTCCGGCAAGTGCAGTGCAACGCTCTCGGATGTCCGGCAAGAGCATTGCAATGCTCCAGGGTGTCCGGCAAAAGCATTGCAACGCTCTGAGGTGTCCGGCAAGTGCACTTCTCTAGGGTGTCTGGCAACAGCACTGCAACGCTCCAGGGTGTCAGGCAAGAGCATTGCAGCGATCCTGGGTTTTTGCCAAGAGCATTGCAACGCTCCATGGTGTCCGGCATGTGCAATGCAACGCTACGGGGTGTCCGGTAAGAGCATTGCAATGCTACAGGGTGTCTAGCAAGACCATTGCAACGTTCCAGGGTGTCCAGCAAGAGCATTGCAACGCTCCGGGGTGTCTGGCAAGAGCATTGCAACGCTCTCGAGTGGTCGGCAAGAGCATTGCAATGCTCCAGGGTGGTCGGCAAGAGCATTGCAGCGCTCCAGGGTGTTCGGCAAGAGCATTGCAACGCTCAGCGTATCCGACAAGAGCATTGCAATGCTCCAGGGTGTCTACTAAGGGCATTGCAACGCTACGGGGTGTCCGGCAAGAGCATTACCACGCTCAAGGGTGTCCCGCAAGAGTATTGTAACGCTCCACGTTGTCCAGCAAGTGCAGTGCAACGCTCTGGGATGTCCGGCAAGTGCATTGCAACGCTCTAGGGTGTCTGGCAAAAGCATTGCAATGCTCCGAGGTGTCCGGCAAGAGCTCTGCAACGCTTGTGGGTGTCTGGCAAGAGCATTGCAACGATCAAGGGTGTTTGCCAAGAGCATTGCAACGCTCCAAGGTGTCCGACAAGTGCTATGCAACACTCTAGGGTGTCCGGGAAGAGCATTGCAATACTATTGGGTGTCTCGCAAGACCATTGCTACGCTCAAGGGTGTCCGGCAAGTGCAGTGCAAAGCTCTGGAGTGTCCGACAACAGCATTGCAACGCTCCTGGGTGTCCGGGAAAAGCATTGCAACGCTCCAAGGTGTCCGGCAAGTGCACTGCAACGCTCCGGGGTGTCCGGTAAGAGCACTGCAACGCTCCAGGGTGTCCGGCAAGAGCATTGCAACGATCCAGGGTTTTTGCCAAGACCATTGCAACGCTCCAAGGTGTCCGGCAAGTGCACTGCAACGCTCCGGGGTGTCCGGCAAGTGCAATGCAACGCTCCGGGGTGTCCAGCAAGAGCATTGCAATGCTACAGGGTGTCTGGCAAGAGCATTGCAACGCTCCAAGGTGTCCAGCAAAAGCATTACAACGCTCCGGGGTGTCCGGAAAGAGCATTGCAACGCTCCAGTGTGTTCGGCAAGAGCAATGCCATGCTCCAGTGTGTCCGGCAAGAGCATTGCAATGCTCCAGGGTGTCTAGCAAGAGCATTGCAACGCTCCGGGGTGTCCGGCAAGAGCATTGAAACCCTCGAGGGTGTCCGGCAAGCGCATTGTAATGCTCCAAGGTGTCCGACAAGTGCAGTGAAACGCTCTTGGTTGTCCGGCAAGAGCACTGCAACGCTCCAAGGTGTCCGGCAATAGTATTGCAACGCTCCAGGGTGTTCGGTAAAAGCATTGCAACTTTCCGAGGTGTCTGGCAAGTGCACTGCAGTGCTCTGGGGTGTCCGGCAAGAGCACTGCAACGCTCCAAGGTGTCTGGCAAGAGCATTGCAACGATCCAGGGTGTTTGCCAAGAGCATTGCAACACTCCAAGGTGTCCGGCAAGTGCAATGCAACGCTCCCGGGTGTCCGGCAAGAGCATTGCAATGCTACACGGTGTCCGGCAAGAGCATTGCAACGCTCCGGGGTGTATGGTAAGAGCATTGCCATGCTCCAGGGTGTCCGGCAAGAGCATTGCAATGCTCTGGGGTGTCCCGCAAGAGCATTGCAACGCTCCAAGGAGTCCGGCAAGAGCATTGTAATGCTCCAGGGTGTCTGGTAAGTGCAGTGCAACGCTCTTGGATGTCCACCAAGAGCATTGCAACGCTCCACGGTGTCCGGTAAAAGCATTGCAATGCTCCGAGGTGTCTGGCAAGTGCACTGCAACGCTCTAAAGTGTCCGGCAAGAGCACTCCAACGCTCCTGGGTGTCCACCAAGAGCATTGCAACGATCCAGTGTGTTTGCCAAGAGCATTGCAACGCTACAGGGGTGTCCGCCAAGTGCAATGCAACGCTCCGGGGTGTCCGGCAAGAGCATTGCAATGCTACAGGGTGCCTCGCAAGACCATTGCAACGCTCTAGGGTGTCGAGCAAGACCATTGCAACGCTCCGGGGTGTCCGGCAAGTGCATTGCAACGCTTCGAGGTGTCTGGCAAGAGCATTGCAACGCTTCGGGGTGTCCGACAAGAGCCTTGCAACATTCCACGGTGTCCGGCAAGAACATTGAAACGCTCCAGGGTGTCCGGCAAGAGCATTGCAACGCTCTCGGGTGGTTGGCAAGAGCATTGCAACACTCGAGGGTGGTCGGCAAGAGCATTGCAGCGCTCCAAGGTGTCCGGCAAGAGCCTTGCAACGCTCCAAGGTGTCCGACAAGAGCATTGCAACGCTCCGGGGTGTCCGGCAAGAGCATTACAACGCTCCAGGGTGTTCAGCAAGAGCATTGCAACGCTCCAAGGTGTCCGGTAAGAGCATTGCAATGCTGCATGGTGTCCGGCAAGAGCATTGCAACGCTCCAGGGTGTCCGGCAACTGCAGTGCAACGCTCTGGGGTGTCCGGCAAGAGCATTGCAACGCTTCAGGGTGTCCGGCAAAAGCATTGCAACGCTCCGAGGTGTCCGGCAAGTGCACTGCCACGCTCTGGGGTGTTCGGCAAGAGCACTGCAACGCTCCAAGGTGTCCGGCAAGAGCATTGCAACAATCAAGGGTGTTTGCCAAGAGCATTGCAACACTCCAAGGTGTCCGGTAAGTGCAATGCAACGCTCCGAGGTGTCCGGCAAGAGCATTGCAATGCTACAGGGTGTTAGGCAAGACCATTGCAACGCTCCACGGTGTCCACCAAGAGCATTGCAACGCTCTGGGGTGTCCTGCAAGTGCATTGCAACGCTCCGTGGTGTCCAACAAGAGCATTGCAACGCATCGGGGTGTCTCGCAAGAGCCTTGCAACACTCCAGGGTGTCCGGCAAGTGCAATGCAAAGCTCTTGGATGTCCGGCAAGAGCACTGCAACGCTCCAGGGTGTCCGGCAAAGGCATTGCAATGCTCCGAGGTGTCCGGCAAGTGCATTGCAAGGCACCCTGGAGCGTTGCAGTGCAGCTGCCGAACACCCCAAAGCGTTGCAGTGCTCTTGGCGGCCACCTTGGAGCATTGCAATGCTCTTGCTTGACACCCTAGATTATTGTAGTGCTCTTGGTGGACACCCTGATGTGTTGCAGCGCACTTGCCGGACACCCTAGAGCGTTGCAATGCACTTGCTTACCACCTTGGAGCGTTGCAATGCTCTTGCCGGCAACCCTGGAGCATTGCAATGCTCTTGCCGACCACCCTGGAGGGTTGCAATGCTCTTGCCGGCCACCCTAGAGCGTTGCAAAGCTCTAGCCGGACACCCTGGAGCGTTGCACTGCACTTGCCAGAAACCCTGGAGCGAAGCAATGCTCTTGCTGGACACCATGGAGCGTTGCAATGCTCTTGCCGGACACCCTGGAGCGTTGCAAATCACTTGCCAGACACCCAGGAGCATTGCAATGCTCTTGGCGGACACCCTAGTACGTTGCAACGCTCTTGCCGGACACCCCGGAGCGTTGCAGTGCTCTTGCCGAACACCCCGGAGCATTGCAGTGCATTTGCCGGACACCCCGTAGCGTTGCAATGCTCTTGCCGGACACCCTGGAGCGTTGCAATTGCCGGACACCCTGGACATTCCAATGCTCTAGCAGGACACCCCGGAGCGTTGCAGTGCACTTGCCGGACACCCCTGAGCGTTGCAATTCTCTTGGCAGACACTCTGGAACGTTGCAATTCTCTTGCTGGACACCCCGGAGCGTTGCTGTGCTCTTGCCGGACACCCCGGAGCGTTGCAATGCACTTGCCGGACACCGAGGAGCGTTGCATTGCGCTTGCTGGACACCCTGGAGCATTGCAATGCTCTTCCCGGACACCCTGGAGCGTTGCAATTCTCTTGACGGACACCCTTTAGCGTTGCAATACTCTTGCCGGACACCCCGGAGCGTCACAATGCTCCTGCCAAACACCCTGGAGCATTGCAAGGCCCTTGCTGGACACCTTGGAGCGCTGCAATGCTCTTGCCGACAATCATGGAGCGTTGCAATGCTCTTGCCGACCACCCGGGAGCGTTGCACTGCTCTTGCCTGAGACCCCGGAGCGTTGCAATGCTCTTGCCGACCACCCTGGAGCGTTGCAATGCTCTTGTCGGCCACCCTAGAGCGTTGCAAAGCTCTAGCCCGACACCCTGGAGCGTTACACTGCACTTGCCGGAAAGCCTGGAGCGTTGCAATGCTCTTGCCGGACACCCAGGAGCGTTGCAATGCTCTTGCCGGAGACCCTCGAGCGTTGCAATTCTCTTGGCGGACACCCCAGAGCGTTGCAGTGCACTTGCCCTACACCTTGGAGCGTTGCAATGCTCTTAGCGGACACCCTGGTACGTTGCAATGCTCTTGACGGACACCCTGGAGCGTTGCAGTGCTCTTGCCGGACACCCCGGAGCGTTGCTGTGCATTTGTCGAACACCCCGTAGCGTTGCAATGCTCTTGCCGGACACCCTGTAGCGTTGCAGTGCACTTGCCGGACACCCCGGAGCATTGCAATGCTCTTGCAAGACACCCTCGAGCGTTGCAGTGCACTTGCCAGAAACCCATGAGCGTTACAGTGCACTTGCAGGACACCCCTGAGCGTTGCAATGCTCCTGCCGGACACCCCGGAGCGCTGCAATGCTTTTGCCGGACACCGCGGATCGTTGCAAAGTGCTTGCCGGACACCTCGGACCGTTGCACTGCTCTTACCCACACCCCGAAGTGTTGCAATGCTCTTGCGGGACACCCTCGAGTGTTGCACGTCCACGTCCAGGTCCACGTTGACGTCCACGTCCACGTCCAAGTCCACGTCCATGTCCACGTCCACGTCCACATTCACGTCCACGTCCAGGTCCACGTCCACGTCCACGTCCAGGTCCCCGTCCACGTCCACGTCCATGTCCACGTCCAATTCCACGTCCACGTCCACGTCCATGTCCATGACCACGTCCATGTCTAGTCCACGACCACGTCCAATTCCACGTCCACGACCACGTCCACGTCCACGACCACGTCCACGTCCAAGTCCACGTCATGGAAGACCACATCCGTGTCCACGTCCACAACCACGTCGACGTCGACGTCCACGTCCAGGTCCACCTCCACGTCCACGTCCACGTCCAAGTCCACTTCCACGTCCACGTCCAGGTCCACATCCACGTCCACGTCCACGTCCACGACCCCGTCCACGTCCACGTCCACGTCCACGACCACGTCCACGTCCACGTCCACGTCCACGACCACGTCCACGTCCACCTCCACGTCCACGTCCTGGTCCACGTCCACGTCCAGGTTCACATCCACGTCCACGTCCACGTCCAACTCCACGTCCACGTCCACGTCCACGTCCACGACAACGTCCACGTCCACGTTCACGTCCTCGTCCATGTCCACGTCCACGTCCACGTTAAGGTCCACGTTGACGTCCATGTCTACGTCCAAGTCCACGTCCACGTCCACGTCCACGTCCAAGTCCACGTCCACGTCCACGCCCACGTTCACGTCCACGTCCACGTCCAGGTCCACGTCCACGTCCACATCCAGGTCCACGTCCACGTCCACGTCCATGTCCACGTCCAAGTCCACGTCCACGTCCACGTGCACGTCCACGTCCACGTCCACGTCCATGTCCACGTCCACGTCCACGTCCACGTCCATGTCCACGTCCAAGTCCACGTCCACGTCCACGTGCACGTCCACAACCACGTCCACGTCCACGACCACGTCCACGTACAAGTCCAAGTCCACGTCCACGTCCACGTCCACGTCCAAGTCGACGTCCACGTCCACGATCACGTCCAGGTCCACGTCCACGATCACATCCAGGTCCACGTCCACGTCCACGACCATATCCACGTCCACGTCCATGTCCACGTCCAAGTCCACGTCCACGTCCAGTTCCAGGTCCAGGTCCACGTCCACGTCCACGACCACGTCCACGTCCACGTCCACGTCAACGTCCACAACCACGTCCATGTCCACGTCCACATCCACGTCCACGTCCAGGTCCACGTCCATGTTCACGTCCACGTCCACGTCTAGGTCCACGTCCACGTCCATGTCCAGGTCCACGTCCACATCCACGTCCATGTCCACATCCAAGTGCACGTCCACGTCCACGACCACGTCCACGTCAACCTCCACGACCACGTCCACGTCCACGACCACGTCCACGTCCACGACCACATCCACGTCCACGTCCACGACCACGTCCAGGTCCATGTCCAGGTCCACGTCCACGTCCACGTCCACGTCCAGGTTCAGGTCCACGTCCACGTCCACGTCCAACTCCACGTCCATGTCCACGTCCACGACCACGTCCACGTCCACGTCCATGTCCACGTCCAGGTCCACATCCACGTCCAGTTCCACGTTGACGTCCACGTCCACGTCCACGTCCATGTCCAAGATCCCGTCCAAGTCCACATCCACATCCACGTCCTCGTCCACGTCCAAGTTCACGTCCACGTCCACGTCCACGACCACATCCACGTCCACGTACACGTCCACGTACAGGTCCACGTCCACGTCCACATCCACGACAACGTCCACGTACAAGTCCAAGTCCAAGTCTACGTCCACGTCCACGTCCACGTCCAGGTCCATGTCCAAGTCCACGTCCACGTCCACGTCCACATGCACGTCCACGACCACGTCCACGTCCACGACCACGTCCACGTACAAGTCCAAGTCCACATCCACGTCCACGTCGACGTCCATGTCCAAGTCCACGTCCAAGTCCACGTCCAAGTCCACGTCCACGTCCACGTCCACGTCCAAGTCCACGTCCAAGTCCACGTCCACGTCCACGTCCACGTCCATGTCCAAGTCAACGTCCACGTCCACGATCACGTCCAAGTTCACATCCACGTCCACGTCCACGTCCAAGTTCACGTCCACGTCCACGTCGACGACCACGTCCACGTCCACGTACACGTCCACGTACAGGTCCACGTCCACGTCCACGACCACGTCCACGTACAAGTCCAAGTCCACGTCCACGTCCACGTCCAGGTCCACGTCCAAGTCCACGTCCACGTCCACGTCCACGTGCACGTCCACGACCACGTCCACGTCCACGACCACGTCCACGTACAAGTCCAAGTCCAAGTCCAAGTCCACGTCCACGTCCACGTCCAAGTCCACGTCCACGTCCACGACCAAGTCCACGTACACGTCCATGTCCACGTCCAAGTCCACGTCCAAGACCACGTCCACGTCCAAGTGCACGTCCAAGTCCACGTCCAAGTCCACGTCCACGTCCACGTCCACGTCCAAGTCCAAGTCCACGTCCACGTCAACGTCCTCGTCCAGGTCCGCGTCCACGTGTACGTCCACGACCACGTCCACGTCCATGAGCACGTCCACGTACAAGCCCACGTCCACGTCCACGTCCACGTCCACGTCCAGGTCCGCGTCCATGTGCACGTCCACAACCACGTCCACGTCCACGACCACGTCCAACTCCAAATCCACGTCCACGTCCACGTCCACGTCCAAGCCCACTTCCAAGTCCACGTCCACGTCCAGGTCCGCGTCCACGTGTACGTCCACGACCACGTCCACGTCCACGTACAAGCCCACGTCCACGTCCACGTCCACGTCAAGGTCCGCGTCCATGTGCACGTCCACAACCACGTCCACGTCCACGACCACGTCCAACTCCAAATCCACGTCCACGTCCACGTCCAAGCCCACGTCCAAGTCCACGTCCACGTCCAGGTCCGCGTCCACGTGTACGTCCACGACCACGTCCACGTCCACGACCACGTCCACGTACAAGCCCACGTCCACGTCCACGTCCACGTCCAGGTCCGCGTCCATGTGCACGTCCACAACCACGTCCACGTCCACGACCACGTCCAACTCCAAATCCACGTCCACGTCCACGTCCAAGCCCACGTCCAAGTCCACGTCCACGTCCACGTCCACGTCCAAGATCCCGTCCAAGTCCACATCCACATCCACGTCCACGTCCACATCCACGTCCATGTCCAAGATCCCGTCCAAGTCCACATCCACGTCCATGTCCACGTCGACGTCCACGTCCAAGTTCACGTCCACGTCCACGTCCACGTCCACAACCACGTCCACGTCCACGTACACGTCCAAGTACAGGTCCACGTCCACGTCCACATCCACGACCACGTCCATGTACAAGTCCAAGTCCACGTCCACGTCCACGTCCACGTCCACGTCCACGTCCAGGTCCATGTCCAAGAACACTGCAACGCTCCGTGGTGTCCCGCAAGAGCATTGCAACGCTCCAGGAGGTCAGGCAAGAGCATTGCAACGCTCCATGGTGTCCGCGAAGGGCATTGCAACACTCCAAGGTGTCCTGTAAGAGCATTGCAACTCTTTGGTGTGTCCGGCAAGTGCATTGCAACGCTCTGGGTTGTCCAACAAGAGCATTGCAACGCTCCAAGGTGTCCGGGAAGAGCATTGCAATGCTCCAAGGAGGTCGGCAAGAGCATTGCAACGATCCAGGGTGTCTACCAAGAGCATTGCAACGCTCCGGGGTGTCCGCCAAGTGCTCTGCAATGCTCTGGGGTGTCCGGCAAGAGCATTGCAATGCTTCACGGTGGCCGGCAAGAGCATTGTAACGTTCCGGGGCGTCCGTTAAGAGCAGTGCAACCCTCCTGGGTGTCCGGAAAGATCATTGCAACGCTCCGGGTGTCTGGCAAGATTATTGCAACGCTCCAGGGTGTCCGGCAAAAGCATTACAACACTCTGAGGTGTCTCGAAGTGCAGTGCAACACTGCGAGGTGTCAAGTATGAGCACTGCAACGCTCCAGGGTGTCCGGCAAGACCATTGCAACGATCCAAGGTGTTTGCCAAGAGCATTGCAACACTCCAATGCAAGTGCATTTCAATGCTACAGGGTGTCTGGCAAGACCATTGCAATGCTCCAGGGTGTCCAGCAAGAGCATTGCAACGCTCCAAGGTGTCCGTCAAGTGCATTGCAACGCTCTGGGGTGTCTGGCAAGAGCATTGCAACGCTCTGGGGTGTCCGGCAAGAGCCTTGCAACACTCCACGGTGTCCGGCAAGATCACTTCAACGCTCCGTGGTGTCCCGCAAGAGCATTGCAACGCTCCAGGGTGTTAGGCAAGGGCATTGCAATGCTCCATGGTGTCCGCGAAGAGCATTGCAACGCTCCACGGTGTCTTGTAAGAGCATTGCAACTCTTTGGGGTGTCCGACAAGTGCATTGCAACGCTCCGGGGTGTCCAGCAAGAGCATTGCAACGCTCCATGATGTCTGGCAAGAGCTTTGCAACGCTCCAGGGAGGTCGGCAAGAGCATTGCAACGATCCAGGGTGTCTGCCAAGAGCATTGCAATGCTCAGGGGTGTCCGCCAAGTGCACTGCAATGCTCTGGGGTGTCCGGCAAGAGCATTGCAATGCTTCAGGGTGGCCGGCAAGAGCATTGTAACAATCCGGGGTGTTCGTCAAGAGCACTACAACCCTCCAGGGTGTCTAGAAAGAGCATTGAAGGTGGACGTGGACGTGGAGGACGTGGATGTGAAGGACGTGGATGTGGACGTGGAGGACGTGGACGTGGACGTTGATGTGGACGTGGACGTGGTCGTGGACGTGGACGTGAACGTGGGCGTGGATGTGGACGTGGTCGTGGACGTGGACATCAACGTGGTCGTGGACGTGGACGTGGACGTGGTCGTGGACGTGGACGTGGACGTGGTCGTGGTCGTGGACGTGGACGTGGACGTGGACGTGGTCGTGGACGTGGACGTGGACGTGGTCGTGGACGTGGACGTGGACGTGGAGGACGTAGATGACGACGTGGAGGACGTGGACGTGGATGTGGACGTGGACGTGGACGTGAAGGTGGACGTGGATGTGGACGAGGACGTGGACGAAGAGGTGGACGACGTGGACGTGGATGTGGACCTGGACCTGGACGTGGACGTGGACGTGGACGTGGACGTGGACCTGGACTTTGACGTGGACGTGGACGTGGTCATGGACGTGGACGTGGTCGTGGACGTGGACGTGGACGTGGTCGTGGTCGTGGACGTGGACGTGGACGTGGACGTGGTCGTGGACGTGGACGTGGACGTGGTCGTGGACGTGGACGTGGACGTGGAGGACGTAGATGACGACGTGGAGGACGTGGACGTGGATGTGGACGTGGACGTGGACGTGAAGGTGGACGTGGATGTGGACGAGGACGTGGACGAAGAGGTGGACGACGTGGACGTGGATGTGGACCTGGACCTGGACGTGGACGTGGACGTGGACGTGGACGTGGACCTGGACTTTGACGTGGACGTGGACGTGGTCATGGACGTGGACGTGGTCGTGGACGTGGACGTGGTCGTGGACGTGGACGTGGTCGTGGACGTGGACGTGGACGTAGACGTGGTCGTGGACGTGGACGTGGTCGTGGATGTGGACGTGCACCTAGACCTGGACGTGGACGTGGACTTGGACGTGGACGTGGATGTGGACGTGGTCGTGGACGTGGACGTGGACATGGACGTGGTCGTGGACGTGGACCTGGACCTGGACGTGAACGTGCATGTGGACGTGGACGTGGACGTGGACATGGACGTGGAGGTGGACGTGGATGAGGACGAGGACGTGGACGAAGACGTGGAGGACGTGGACGTGGACGTGGACATGGACGTAGACGTGGACGTGGACCTGGACGTGGACGTGGACGTGGACGTGGTCGTGGACGTGGACATGGTCGTGGACGTGGACGTGGACGTGGTCGTGGACGTGGAAGTGGTTGTGGTCGTGGACGTGGACCTAGACCTGGATGTGGACGTGGACGTGGACGTGGACGTGGACGTGGTCATGGAGGTGGACATGGACGTGGACGTGGACTTGGACGTGGACGTGGACGTGGACGTGGACGTGGTCGTGGACGTGGACGTGGTCGTGGACGTGGACGTGGTCGTGGACGTGGACGTGGACGTGGACGTGGACGTGGAGGACGTGGACGTGGAACTGTAACTTGGTCTTCTTTTGGAGCTCAGTGTAGTTCAAATCCGCTCCCTCAAGCCGCGTCAACAAGTTGAAGAATTTCTGCACCCCTTCTTCAACCGCTTCATCCTCTTCAATTCGTAGTGTCGCCATTTGCCGTTCGAACACCACAGCTACCGCCACTGTTGCAGGAGCGTGTACACCCTTGAGAGCAGCCCATGCTTTTTGTCCCTTTTCTGGTTCACGCTGGAAAGGCTTGATATGACGGATTTGGTAGCTCCCCAGCGCTTGCCCAAGTAGGAGGTAGCCTTGTGCGCTCTTCCGCACCCACGGGCTCTTCTCCGGGTCGTTCTCGGGACGCTTCTCCGTTCCTTCCATCACCTCCCGCAGGTCATAGTGGTCAAATATGTTCTCCATTCTGAAGGACCACTCAGCAAAGTTGTCACCATTGATCTTGTCAAGGCCAAACACTCTAGGCTCATCCCTAGATGGGCCAACACTTGGTTGCACGGGCGCCAAACACTCTAGTCACGGGGTTGGCCTTGAGCTTGGGCTTCTCCTCTGCCACCAGCACCTCTGCCACCCCTTTCCTCATGTCCAGCCATTGTCGAAACTGCTCCAAGGGGCTCTGATACCAATTGTTATAGTCATAGTAGGCTCCAATGTGCCTAAAACGAAAGATAGAGTGCACAGTCGGATTTCTGCACAGCGGATTCAAATGTTCATACCGTTCTGGTCACAACTTCAAATGACTTGATTCAACTTGGATCTGGAGCGTCTTATTGTCGCCTACACTAGGCAATTTAGATCGCACGATTTGACCAAGTATTGACGACACAGCATTGGTTTGAACGAACGGCACTATGGCAGCCACTATAGTCATAGAACACAAGATAGGAAGAGTTAGGGAGAGTTACGAGTTGGGAATGACTCCCAGCTCCTACAAACCCCAAGAGCCGGGCTACAGTGATGTGGAGCAGTGCCACACTGTCCCCAATTACGAAGGGTCTCGAAACTACCCTTCACTAGGGCCTACACCAAGTGAAATGTTACACTACACAAAGTAATGTAACTAACTTCAATATCTTGAGGTGTACCCTTTTTCGCGGTCTTCGCGATTACTTGAATGTTGACACCAGGGCTCGGGCTCTTCATCACAAACTCATCCTTGAGTTCTTGATGGGTCTGCTGCACACACCTGCGACACACCGAACGTTCGACACAGGACAAAATAGAAACCGTGCATGACAAAATAGAAACCACGCGCGAGACACGCGTCTAGCGATAACTCGCTATTGACTCAACACGCACACTCGACATCATGACTCAACATTCACACACTATTATAAGCATGAAATATATATTATCCCATGCCCTCATACCATTCCATACACACACTCATGCACGCACAAGGACAACAAGCCGACTGCAAACCATAGGGTTGCACCAACACTTGGCAACGATCCGGGGTGTCTGACAAGAGCATTGCAACGCTCGAGGGTGTCTAACAAGAGCATTGCAACGCTCTAGGGTGTCCAGCAAGAGCGTTGCAACACTCCAGGGTGTCCGGCAAGAGCAGTGCAACGCTCCGAGGTGTCCAGCAAGTGCACTGCAACGCTCCAGGGGTGTCCGGCAAGAGCATTTCAACACTCCCGGGTGGTCGGCAAGAGCATTGCAACGCTCGAAGGTGGTTTGGCAAGAGCATTGCAGCGCCCCGTGGTGTCCGGCAAGCACTTTGCAACGATCCAAGGTGTCTGGCAAGAGCATTGCAACGCTCCAGGGTGTTTAGCAAGAGCATTGCAACGCTCTAGGGTGTCCGGCAAGAGCGTTGCAACACTTAGGGGTGTCCGGCAAGAGCAGTGCAACGCTCTGGGGTGTCCGGCAAGTGCACTGCAACGCTCCGGGGTGTCCGGCAAGAGCACACCAACGCTCCGGTGTGTCCGATAAGAGAATTGCAACGCTCCAGGGTGTCTGGCATGAACATTGCAACGCTCAGGGGTGCCCGGCAAGTGCACTAGAACGCTGCGAGGTGTCCAGCTAGAGCATTGCAACGCTACGCGGTGTCCGGCAAATGCACTGCAACGCTATGGGGTGTCTGGCAAGAGCACTGCAACGCTCTTGGGTGTCCGGCAAGAGCATTGCAACGCTCCGGGGTTTCCGGCAAGTGCACTGCAACGCTCCAAGGTGTCCGGCTAGAGCTTTGCAACGCTCTAGGGTGGCCGGCAAAAGCATTCCAACGCTCCAGGGTGGTCGGCAAGAGCATTGCAACGCTCCAGTGTGTGCGGCAAGAACATGCAACGCTCTAGGGTGTCCGGCAAGAGCATTGCAACGCTCTCGGGTGGTCGGCAAAGGCATTGCAACGCTCCAGGGTGGGCGGCAAGAGCATTGCAATGCTCCACGGTGTCCGGCAAGAGCATTGCAACACTCTAGTGTGTCTCGGAAGAGCATTGCAATGCTCGAGGGTGTCCACCAAGAGCATTGCAACGCTCCGGGGTGTCCGGCAAAAGCATTGCAATGCTCCAGGGTGTCTCGCAAGAGCATTGTAACGCTCCAGGGTGTCCGGCAAGTGCAGTGCAACGCTCCGGGATCTCCGGCAAGAGCATTGCAACGCTCCAGGGTGTCTGGCAAAAGTATTGCAATGCTCTAAGGTGTCCGGCAAGTGCACTAAAACGCTCCTGTGTGTCCGGCAAGAGTACAAGGGCATAGCGTATGCAAAATGAAAAGAACAAGGGCCTAGCGTGTGCAAAATAAAAAGAACAAGGGCCTAGCGTGTGCAAAATTAAAAGAACAAGGGCCTAGCGTGTGCATAATTGCAAGAACAAGGGCCTAGCGAGTGCAAAATAGCAACAACAAGGGCCTAGCGTGTGAAAAAAATAAAGAACAAGGGCCTAGCGTTCACGAAATAGCAAGAGCAATGGCCTAGTGTGTGCAAAATAAAAAGAACAAGAGCCTAGCGTGTGCAAAATTGCAAGAACAAGGGCCTAGCATGTGCAAAATTGCAAGAACAAGGGCCTAGCGAGTGCAAAATAGCAAGAGCAAGGGCCTAGCGTGTGCAAGAAATCAAGAACAAGGGCCTAGCGTTCGCAAAATAGCAAGAACAAAGGCCTAGCGTGTGCAAAATAAAAAAAACAAGGGTCTAGCATGTGCAAAATTGCAAGAACAAGGGTCTAGCGTGTGCAAAATAAAAAGAACAAGGGCATAGCGTGTGCAAAATAAAAAGAACAAGGGCATAGCGTGTGCAAAATAAAAAGAACAAGGGCCTAGCGAGTGCAAAATTAAATGAACAAGGGCCTAGCGAGTGCAAAATAGCAAGAGCAAGGGCCTAGCGTGTGAAAAATAAAAAGAACAAGGGCCTAGCGTGTGCAAAATTGCAAGAACAAGGGCCAGGCGTGTGCACAATTGCAAGAACAAGGGCCTAGCGAGTGCAAAATAGCAAGAGCTAGTGCCTAGCGTGTGCAAAAGATCAAGAACAAGGGCATAGCATTCACGAAATAGCAAGAACAAGGGCCTAGCGTGTGCAAAATAAAAAGAACAAGGGTCTAGCATGTGCAAAATTGCAACAACAAGGGCCTAGCGTGTGCAAAAAAAAAAGAACAAGGGCATGGCGTGTGCAAAATAGCAAGAACAAGGGCATAGCGTGTGCAAAATAAAACAAACATGGGCCTAGCGTGTGCAAAATAAAAAGAACAAGGGCCTAGCGTGTGCAAAATTGCAAGAACAAGGGCCTAGCGTGTGCAAAATTGCAAGAACAAGGGCCAAGCGAGTGCAAAATAGCAAGAGCAAGGGCCTAGCGTGTGCAAAAAATCAAGAACAAGGGCCTAGCCTTCGCGAAATAGCAAGAGCAAGGGCCGCGCGTGTGCGAAATAAAAAGAACAAGGGTCTAGCATGTGCAAAATTGCAAGAACAAGGGCCTAGCGTGTGCAAAATAAAAAGAACAAGGGTCTAGCATGTGCAAAATAAATAGAACAAGGGCCTAGCGTTCGCAAAATAAAAAGAACAAGGGCATAGCGTGTGCAAAATAAAAAGAACAAGGGCATAGCGTTCGCGAAATAGCAAGAGCAATGGCCTAGTGTGTGCAAAATAAGAAGAACAAGGGCCTAGCGTGTGCAAAATTGCAAGAACAAGGGCCTAGCGTGTGCAAAATTGCAAGAACAAGGGCCTAGCGTGTGCAAAATTGCAAGAACAAGGGCCTAGCGTGTGCAAAATTGCAAGAACAAGGGCCTAGCGAGTGCAAAATAGCAAGAGCAAGGGCCTAGCGTGTGCAAGAAATCAAGAACAAGGGCCTAGCGTTCGCGAAATAGCAAGAACAAGGGCCTAGCGTGTGCAAAATAAAAAGAACAAGGGTCTAGCATGTGCAAAATAAAACGAACAAGGGCCTAGCGTGTGCAAAAAAAAAAGAACAAGGGCATAGCATGTGCAAAATAAAAAGAACAAGGGCATAGCGTGTGCAAAATAAAAAGAATAAGGGCCTAGCGTGTGCAACATTAAATGAACAAGGGCCTAGCGAGTGCAAAATAGCAAGAGCAAGGGCCTAGCGTGTGCAAAATAAAAAGAACAAGGGCCTAGCATGTGCAAAATTGCAAGAACAAGGGCCTAGCGTGTGCACAATTGCAAGAACAAGGGCCTAGCAAGGGCAAAATAGCAAGAGCTAGGGCCTAGCGTGTGCAAAAAATCAAGAACAAGAGCCTAGCATTCGCGAAATAGCAACAACAAGGGCCTAGCGTGTGCAAAAAAAGAAGAACAAGGGTCTAGCATGTGCAAAATTGTAAGAACAAGGGCCTAGCGTGTGCAAAATAAAAAGAACAAGGGCATAGCGTGTGCAAAATAGCAAGAACAAGTGCCTAGCGTATGCAAAATAAAAAGAACAAGGGCCTAGCATGTGCAAAATAAAAAGAACAAGGGCCTAGTGTGTGCAAAATCGCAAGAACAAGGGCCTAGCGAGTGCAAAATAGCAAGAGCAAGGACCTAGCGTGTGCAAAAAAATCAAGAACAAGGGCCTAGCGTTTGCGAAATAGCAAGAACAAGGGCCT